AATAGTTGCCACCCTAAGGTGTTAAAGAGAAACCATCTTACAGACATGGAAATGGAGCACACTTCAAACTGAGAAATTGTGATAGAGGGAAGTGAAAAGTACACAGAAAGCATTATCTCAGTATAGATACTTAAGAAAAAGGTTCTAAAGTGGGCCAAGGTTGGGATCAAATAGGTTACCTATCGTGAGCATACCTGGCCTGAGTTGCCTTGTATTTCTCGCGGTTTCTTGAAAAACTGCCTAAGACGTTGGATTCGTGGCTTGGCACTGATCCAGCGTCTGAAGCTCTCTTGCCTGAGACCGGAGTCTCGTGACCTGCGAGTACAACACGAGAACATCTTTCCCGTTCCTGAGTCGCAGGTCAAGTGAGCTGCCTTGTGCCGACTATCACTTAAATAGCCTGGCTATCAGGCTTCCATGCTTTATTCCATTGTGAGGAGGCAGGGTCACCTCTCAGGGCCCAGTGACCTATGCTGCTTCCTCACACAGGACAAACTGCAGGCTGAAATCCCTCCTGTGTCACAATGCATATATGTAGTCACAGTTAACAGCACACCTTGTCTGTTGAATCTCAACATCCTCTGCTAGGCCTAGGTACTGGCATGGTCTCAGCATCCAGGAACCATTCCTAGGTCAGAGCCATGCCCTATCGGGCACTGTTCCTCTCATGCTGCACAAATCATTCTGCCTCTCGGGTCCCTCTCAGCCTGCCATGTGCTTCTTGCACATATTTTGACGTCTCTGTCCTAGGATATTGTTAGCCTTCTGTATCCTTATCTGTTTGCCCTTGAAGCAACTCTGTGCTGTCATCTGGGGAAAATGCAAAAACTCAAGAGATGGGAAAATCAAAGAAGTATTTGGAAACAAAACACACATAGGCATTTTTACAGGTCTTTTTTTTTTTTTTGGAGGTCATGGGGCTTGAACTCTCAGTCTGGGTGCTGTCCCTCAGCTCTTCAGCTTAAGGCTGGCACTCTACCACCTAAGCCACAGCTCCACTTCTGGCTTTTTTCTGCGTATGCGGTGCTGAGGAATCGAACCCAGGGCCTCATGCATGGAAGGCAAGCACTTTACCATGGAGCTACCATCCCAGCCCTTTGGAAAATACTTTATGAACGAGGTAAGGGACAAAGAAAACAGGTGCTCCACTGTCATCTTTGTAATATGATGATGACTATCATTTAAAAATACAGCTTTGTAGGTATATAATATTCAAAGATAGAAAACTGTCCTTGTAAGTCTTGTGCTTTGCCTGCACCAGGAGCAGTGCACATGCGCCCTTCCTTCACATGGCACGCTTATTTTCAAAGCCTGTATAGGAACTGTGGTGGTCATCCTCAGCCTGAGACTATGGGTAGTACTTTGGACCTAGGAGGTTATTCCTTGGGAGTGTCTCAGTCTCTTGGTAGTGGCTGGTTCTGGTGGAAATACCACAGAGATCCTGAGGCTAGTTGGAAGCTTGTGCAATGCTTATTCGCCTAAACATTGTATCATTGCTTATACCAGTAAAATGAGTGCCAGTGAAATTAATTCTTTTGAACTTGATCATGCTGGAAGAGAACCTAGTACCATGGACACCAAATGCGACATCCCCGAATTCCGAGAAGCCAGCAGTCCTGACTGTCCACAGTGCTCACCACCATCTGGGCTTCTGTGGCTCTCCTTTGCTATGATTTTCCAGATAAAGCCAGATTTGGTGTTGTGTAACGAACCAAGAACATATGTTCCTATCTTTGTATCTGCCCTCCTCCTTGGCATCCTTGGAATAAAGAAGGTGATCATTGTCTTCATTGAGAGCAACTGGGGGGTGGAAACATTATCCCTGTCCGGAAAGATTCTGTTCCATCTCCGGGATTACTTCATTGTTCATTGGCCAGCTCTAAAGGGGAAGTATCCCAAATCTGTGTACCTTGGGCAAATTATTTGACCAATGGCAACTTATTTCTTTAGAATGTTGCAGTCAACAATATTGACAGCACACTGATAAAGACTTCACAGTCTTAAGAATTATGGATGGCCATGGTTAAATGATGTAAAAATATCACATAGAGAAACTGAGATTCTTGAGTGATAGAACACACCTGTAATCCCAACACTAGAGCAACTAAAGCAAGAAGAGTGCAGGGTCTAGAACAATCTGTACTACATAGAAAATCCCTGTGTAAGAAGAAGAAAGAGAAGAAAGAAGGAAAGTGGGAGGTAAGGAGAGACGGAGGGAGTCCTCTCATAGAATTATTAAAATGTTAATAAACAGTTCATATCAAATATTTATGCCTCCATACATCAAATTTCTTCTTAGGTTAAAATATGAAACACTACCTAAAAGTTGTCTTACAAATTTAGTACTTTTTTCTCAACCTATTTGAAAGTTTATATGAAAAAGAAAAAAATATATATATATGTATATGAAATAGAAAGCAGCATTTCCTTCTTTAATAAGTATTCTGCATCATTAAAAGAAGGTTTACTTCTTCATTCTTTGTTCTGATGCAACAAGCTTTATTTCCTGTGTGGAATCAGTGATGTCTCTACTGAGCTCTTCTGCGTGAAGGAAGCAGTTGTGTGAAGCTGGCTTTATGACAGCTTGCACTCCACAGGCTTCAAACCTCAAGCCAGACTATCTCTCAAAATACCTAATTTAATTGTTAAAAATAAGTTAAAAGGCCTGGTGCTGATAGCTCAAACCTGTAGTCCTAGCTACTCAGGAGGCTGAGATCTGAGGATTGCCAGGCCAGGCAGGAAACTCCATGAGACTCTTATCTCCAGGAAACTACTTATAAAAGCCAGACATGGCCCTGTGGCTCAAGTGGTAGAGTACCCCCCTTGAGGAAAAGAAAGTCATGGACATCGGCCGGGCCCAGAGTTCAAGTCCCAGGACCAGCAAACATTAATTAAAAGGTGACCACTATCATTGTAATAAAAACATGATTTTATTGATCAGGAACCCAGGTTTTTTAAAACATCAAAAACAAATGTTCATGAATTCACAATGCCTTGGCTATAGTCACCTCTGGCATGTTAAGATGATTAGGCTTGCTGGAGTATATAATATTTACTATATATTTATCTAATGTTTGCTTTATGCCAGATATTCTAGGCACTTTTCAAACAAGAGAACTTGATGAGGTACATGCCTTGTCCAAATCACATGACTTAAAACATTTTTTTTTTGTCAGTCGTGGGGCCTGAACTGTGGGCCGGGGCGCTGTCCCTGAGCTCTTCAGCTCAAGGGCTAGTGCTCTACCACTAGAGCCACAGCGACACTTTCAGCTTTTTCTGCTTATGTGGTGCTGAGGAATCGAACCCAGGGCCTCATGCATGCGAGGCAAGCACTCTACCACTGAGCCACCTTCCCAGCCCCCACTTAACACATTTTCAAAGCCAGATTCAAGGTCAGGTAGCCTGGCTTGGGAGGATGGAGAGAGGGACAATCACAGTTGGATGTGGGTCACAAAGGGTGACACACTTAGGTGTGCCTCTGAGCTTGACTCAACACTTGGCTGTCCTTTGGAGTTTCTTGGTAATTGTGAATGCTGGTCACGTTTTGTTGTTGTTGTTCTGCAGTGCCGGAACTAGAACCCAGATCCTTGCACATGATAAATGAGCACTCTGCCACTGAACTCTACCCCCAGCCCTCCTAGTAATTCTTGATTAGGAACTCATATTTCAACCCTAACAGTTATGTAGCTTATTCTGGTTACTATAGCACAAACATCCCTAACCTGCTCCTTTGCCCCTTAAGAGAGAGAGAAAGAGAGAGAGAGAGAGAGACACAGACAGATCTTTGCTTAAGTGAGTTTATGTATTATTACTTTGAATCATTTGTTGTATAAATCGGATGTAAATGGAATAAGATAGGAGAATGATTAATGAAGGGATTTAATTTACTTAAAAAAAAAGAAAACTGTCCTGGTGCTTTTACAAGCCCTTCATTTATACACTAGTTGCCTCAAGTCTTGGTTTCTGTGTCCCATCACCCACTTTTCCTGATCCTCCTCCTTGAACACAATGAAGAAAAAGAAATTTCATAAATCATTTAGCTGCTATCCAATCTATGGATATGAATTTAAGATCAAATATTGGCTGTGATTTTGTGTGTGTCTGTGTGTGTGTGTGTGTGTCATTTTTTTGTGCCAATCCAGGGGTTTGAACTCAGGGCTTGTGAGATATCCCTGAGCATCCTAGTTGCTCTACTATTGAGTCTAGCTCCACTTCAGCTTTCTATAGTAATATAGTAATCTAATACAGTAATCTAGTAATCTAACTTGTTAATCTAATATTTAATTGCCGATGAGACTGATGAACTCTCCTGTCTGGCTGGCTTGGAATTGAATCCTCAGATCTCAGCCTCTTGAATATCTAGGGTAACAGACATGAGCCACCAGCATGAGGTTTACGTGTTGCAAGTTAACAGTCCAGCTTCACAAAACAGTAAAATCTCATACCGAAATACAATAATAAGACGGGATGTGGAAGCCGGGCATCAGTGGCTCACGCCTGTCATCCTAGCTACTCAGGAGGCTGATCTGAGGACTGAGGTTGAAAGCCGCCCGGGCAGGAAAGTCTGTGAGACTCATATCTCCAATAAGCTACAATAAAACTGGAAGTGGCACTGTGGCTCAAGCGGTAGAGCACTCGCCTTGAGCTGAAGAGTACAGGGACAGTGCCCAAGCCCAGACAAGCCTCATGACCAACAACAACAAAAAAAGACGGGATGTGCATAAACTTTAATGTGATAGTATGCTATCCTAACTTGCAGGAGACCCTAGTCTCATTATCTAGTATCACAAAACTAAGTAAAAATAGGTAATTTCAAAAGATTCTACCTACTTTGTATTTCCATCATATAATGGTTTAGAAAAGTGAAAAGAGTTAAAAAGGAAAAAACATTTGTATTTATAAGGGGAATAGAAGGAAAGATGGCAGAACCAGAAAAGGAAGTTTATGTACGGAAAAAAATTGTCTGGCATTGTCATGGTGGATAAAAGATGGTGTTCTTCAGAGCAACAATGGATAAAAATACATTTACTACCTGTAATCCTACTTGGCGCTATCCCTGCCCACTTCTAAATTCTCCAGGGCACATTATCCCTTTATGGATTTTTATCATATATTCCAAAATAACTGGTAGAGTCATGGTTACCAAAGTACATTAGTTATCAGTGTTTTAGGAGATAAATGTGCTGATTATATTAGTCTGATTATTATATATACTAAACAAGGAGTGTGTTCTCACTGTATACCCTAAGTATGTACAAATACTACTTTAGAGAAAATCAGAATACAACAAGGTTTTGAAGGCGCATGCTGTAATGCTAGCTGTTTGGGAGGTTGACATCAGTTCAAGAGCAGTCTAGTTATACCTGCAATGCTTCGTCTCAACCACCAGCTTTGTGTGTCACCGGAGGACTGTGATGGCACACATCTGTCATCTCAGGTACATGGGAGGCTGAGAGCAGGAGGATTTCAATTCCAGGCCAGCCCATGCAAAAGTTCCATGTGACTTCATTTTAACAAGAGAAGGTTTGGTACTGGTGAGCACCAATCACCCCATCTGGAGGAAAAGTAAAAATAGAAGCATTGTAGTATCAAAAAAAGAAAACACCAAGATTAAAACATACCAATGTAAACCATCATAAACAATAGATATCCAGTGCTGGTTTCTCACACTTCAATTCTACCTATACAGGAGACTGAGACCTGAGGATACTCGTTTGAAGCCAGCCTTGGAAAGAAAGTCCTTAGCCAGGTGCTGGTAGCTCATGCCTGTAATCCTAGTTACTCAGGAGGCTGAGATCTGAGGATCGAGGTTCAAAGCCAGCAAGAAATTCTGTGAGACTCTTATCTCTGATTAAGCACCAGAAGACTGGAAGTGGCACTGTGGCTCAAGTGATAGAGTGCTAGCCTTCAGCTGAAGAGCTGAGGGACAGCTCCCTGGCCCAGAGTTCAAGCCCCCAGGACTGACTAGAAAAAAAAAAGAAAGTAAGAAAGAAAGAAAAAGAAAGTTCTTGAGATTTTTACCTTGCATTAACCACTAAAAAGGCAGAAGTGGAACTGTGACTCAATTCCTATTGTACCAGCCTTGAGGGAAAATGCTAAGTGGTAGCACCCAGTCCCTGAGATGAATCATTTTCCCTCTCGGGTCTCTCAACTCAACATGTGCTTCCTGCCCATTTTCTGTTGACATCTAGGCCCTCGGTCATTGTTAGAGGTTTCTGTGTTCTAAACATCTGCTTGTATTTGAAGCTTCTCTGAGGTGTCATCTAGAGCTAATGAAAATACTAAGAGATTAGAAAATAAAAATGTTTGGAAATAAACATTGCACACATGGACATTTTCACAGATTTGCATTTTTCTAAAAGTGTATTAATAATACTTATCAAATTATTAGATGCAATAGTTATCAATTATTACATGGAAGCAGGCAAGGAGAGAGGAGGACATCTGCTCTGTTGTTCTTTTTTATGGTTATTATCACCATTGTCACTTAAAAAAATACTACAACTTTGAAGCAGGGTAAAATTTAAAGATAGAAAACTCAGTTGATGTGCCTTTTTTTACAAGCATATTAGTTTATACAGCCCTGGTGCTGGTGAAGAGGGCGTAAAGATGTGAGTGGGTAAAGTAAGTCCTGCCTCTTGCACTAACTGGGTCAGGCAAAGGTATTGTACCTCACTCACGTATGACAGTAGGAATTGGGTTTTCATTCATTTTGTTCAGCTTTTTTGTGACATGATTTTTGAGGCATCATCGATCCAAACATACATTCTGTATGGGCATACTCCCCTCCCCCATGAAAGCTGCTGAGCAGCAGGGGGGCCTGATACCATCCTAGGAAGCCATGCACAGGACAACGAGCCCCATTGCCAACCACCAGGACTGCCATATGGAATAGCAGCGCACTGAAGGACCATTGTTAGGAGAGATTGGCAACTCAATCAAAACCAGGTCACCACTTACTCCACCAGGAATGGGCACGCTTACTTATTTCCTTGGTGATCAAGGGGCAAGAATGGCACCAGATAGCTCATTCATGTGGCCTGGATGCCAGGCATCTCCAGGTGGAGCAGGACAAAGGTGGACTACATCCTAATCCATTGTCAGTTGGCCTTCTAGGGCCCTCAGAACCTGGGGAGGGGAGACAAAGCAAATGCCCGCTTGAGAAGAGGAGTGAACCACACGCCACACCACCCCAATCCCCTGCACACCAGTGCTTCTGCTCTACTTTCCCCAAGACTTGGACGCCCCTGATCTGCCTACTGCCCCACTGCACCCTTCTTCTGTGAGAGCACACTTCCTTGTTGGGTTGAAAGAAGGCAAGCTGCAAACAGAATCCATAGGTCAAAGGTCATCCCAAGTCCATAATGTCAGACGCATACCCACTCATATGGCCACACTAACATTGGGCTCTGCAACTGACTGGCTCTCAGGCTCTAGAGTTGGGCAGGGCAAGTTCTAGAGATTTGGAAGCAAGGGCACCCGGCACAAACAGAGACTACATTAAACTCCTATGTCCAAGTTTCCCTCATAAAACCCATGGAGAAGTGCCACCCAGCAACAATTCCCTTTAGGGAGGAAGGCTTGAAATCCTCAAAGAAAGTAGGTATGTGTATGGCACCAGAACAAGGACACTGTCTTCCTGAACTGAGCCTCTGGTCATTCCAACCAAGCCTAGAGTTTGACAGGCAAACTATCATAGAAGGCAGCCCCTGCCCATCCTCTTTGCAAATGCAACCCAGATGATAGATGGGGAGCCCATGTGAGTGGAGCTGAGCCCAACCTCTCCATGGCTCCTCATGGGTTGGATAGCAAGCAGGGATGCATTTATCACACCAGGGACCACCAAAAGCCAGTGGGAATTAACAAATAGTCATCCGATTGGACAGGCTATCTCAGAAGACAATGTTGTGGCCCTGATGTGATCACACATCCCTGTGCCTCCCAGTCAGTCCCTCTTGGCCCTGTTTTATCCTAACCCAATGCTAGCCCAAGAGGCACATCTCCCCAAAGGTCTTGCTATCCCATTTCTAGGTGCAAAAGGATCCCATATTCTGCTAACCCAGTGCAGGAGAAAACGGTTCCTATTCTAAGAATGGCTCTTCCCTGGGTCTTGCTTGTGGGCCTTGCCCAGCAACACCAGGTCAATTTCCTGTTTGGCTGACTGCCCACTCTGAGACAGAGCAACTCTGCATCTGGCCCCAATTCAAAGGCCGCCAACACCAAGGTCATTCCACCAAGCATTCCAGGGGGCTTGTACACATGGCTAAACAGAAGGACGGATGGTCATCCCTTACTGGCAAGGCACCTCCTCACAGCTGCTCCTCACAGGTGCAAGGATGTGAGTGGGAAAAGTAAGCCCTGCCTCACTCCTACGCTAGCTGGGTCAGGCAAAGGTGCTAGACGTCACTCACCGATGAGAATAAGAATTGGCTTTTAACTCATTTTGTTCAGTTTTTTTTTGCGACATGATTTGAGGCATCATGGATGCAAATACATATTTTGCAGGCACACATGCCTTCCCCATGAAATTTGTGGGGCAGCAGGTGGACCTGACACCATCTAGGGAAGCCATGACTGGTACAATCGAGGAACTCAGCCCCATGGCCAACTGCCAGGACTGCTACACTGAAAAGCAGTTCAGGAGCTGGGAATGTGGCTTGGTGGTAGAGTGCTTGCCTAGCATGCATGAAGCCCTCGGTTTGATTCCTCAGTTCCACATACACAGAAAAAGCCAGAAAGAAGTGGCACTGTGGCTCAACTGGTGTGCTATCCTTGAGCAAAAGAAGCTAGCTCAGGGACAGTGCCCTGGCCCTAAGTTCAAGCCCCACGACTGGCAAAAAAAAGGTAGTACACTGAATAAGGAAGGATGGGCATCCTAAATGGAACAGATCGATCTCTATCCCACTGGGCATGGGCATACTTACTTAGTTTTCTCAGTGACCAAGGGGTGAGAACGGCACCAGCCAGTTCATTCCTGTGGTCTAGGTACCCGCCACCTCCATGTGGAGTAGGACAAAGGCAGACCATTTCCTGACCCATTGTCAGCTGGCCTTCCAGGGCCTCAAAGCCTGGGTAGAGAGACAAAGCGAATGCCAACTTAAGGAGCGTGAACCACACGCTACACCTTGCACGCCAGTGCTGTCTCACATCCGCTTCTGTTCTACATCTCTGGTACCACTCTTTTAGCCCCCCCCCCCAAGCAAAGCCCAAGTCCTAGAACCCCTGTCGATGGGCCCCCTTCCAAGGCTCTTGCCTGGGCCATGAGCAAGTCGTTGGCTGGAGTGGGTGCAAATGAGTCAGGCCTCACTCCTAAACCAGGTGCTGGACCTCAGTCACCGATGAGAGAGACAGGAATGAGTTTTCACTCATTTTGTTCAGCTTTTCCAAGGAATTTTTTTTAGGGGGTGGGGGGTATCATCATGAATTCGAGCACAACCACTAAAGTCACAGGGCAGCAGGACAGCCCAGGACCTAGGCCGGCCTGCTGGATAGAGGACAAAAATGCTGGCATGGTACCACAACCTGGCAAGTGGGGAGACATCAAGAGAAGAGGACGCAGGCGCGTGGGACCCGCATCCGTGCCCCGCAGGAGCATCCGGGCACTTCCCGCGCTCTCGGGGCTGGTGCTGACTACGGGAACGGGCAACGCTGCGCTGGCCTGACTCGTGCGTGCGTGCGCGCATGCGTGCGAGGCGGCGGGCCGGTGGCTGCCCAGCCGCAGCCAGCGTCTCCCTGTCTCCTGGGGCATTCAATGCAACCACGGAACTGGCCTCACCGGGTGTGATCACACACCGGCGCTTCACAGTCGGGGAAGTCACTTATTACCACCCAAGAATTCCTTCACCCTTTCCCGCGCGACTCCCCCAAAGCTCAGCAGCCGGTCCGAGGGAGTTCTGCGAGGCTCGGAGCCGCGCACCTGCCATTGCGTCATCACTCCGCGCACCCGCCGTCCCGGCCCAAAGTTAACCGAAACTAAGATGTCACCCTTTGTACGGAGGCCTGTAGGAGCCTAAACTGTGGAAGTCCGCGCCGCTCGCCGGCACGGGCCTAACGGCGGTGCCGGTTTCGCTTTTGCTTTCAACGATGGCGGCCTAGTGACGTTCTGCACATTTTGCCCGCGTTTAAGATTAACGCCCTAGTGTCCCACACAAGTTCACGTCTCCAATCAACGACGTGTGCCCTACACAACACGGACCTGAAAGCTTCCGCTCAGCGGGCGCCGCTGGCTCGCCCTGTAGTCCTGGCAACTCAGGAGGCTGAGTTCTGAGGGTCGGGGTTCAAAGTCAGCCTGGGCAGAAAAATCCGCGAGACTCTTGTCTCCAGTGAACACAAAAAGCCGGAAGTGGCGCTGTGGCTAACGTGGTAAGGCAATAAATAACCTTGAGCAAAAAGGCTCAGAGAAAGTGCCAGAACCCAGTTCAAACCCCAGGACCAGAAAAAAAATTAAAAAGTTACAGCTTAATGACTTTGCTTTCTTGTTTTTATCTCTCCAGTTTTCTAAATTTAAAGTGTATTTTCAACGTTTACTCAAAACCAACGGAAGCCATGCATTGGTGGCTCACACCTGTAATCCTAGCTACTCAGGAGGCTGAGATCTGAGGATTACAGTTCAAAGCCAGGCCAGGCAGAAAAGTCTGTGAGATTTTTATCTTCAATAAACTACACACACACACACACACACACACACACACACACACACACACACACACACACACACACACACACACACACCAGAAATGGAAATATGGCTCAACTGCTAGAGTGCTAACCTTGAGGGCAAAAGTTCAGGAATGGTGCCTAGGCCCAGAGTTCAGTGCCCAGAGCTAGCACATACAAAATAATATCTTCATGAATATCTCCTTGACTATGAACATCTTAGGATAAAATCCCACTAAACATCCAACCATCTTCCTTTGAAATGTCAAATTATGTGTTTGCACTATGCAGAATGGTGTGTCTACATAGAGTTGATTGTGGCAGCGTTTCTGCATTTTGTTTGCTTCCCTGAGAGAGGGAAGTTGTCCCAACTGATAGATGAAGAGAACCAGGATCAAGTGGCCCACTATTCTGGGCCATCTGGCTTGTGCTATGATACTCCTTGTGTTCCTAAACATCAGGGGCTCCATCTCAGTATATGACAGCATCCTTCTATTTCCGGGTTCTTTGCCAATCTCTTCAGCATTTGCTGACACCTATTAGTCCAGCAGCTTCTTTCTCATACCTACCAGGTCAGTGTGTTTTGTTCTATTCATGCTCCAGTTGTTCTACAAGGAGATTCAGATAGCATTTAGACAATTGAAGTTGTTGTATGAAATGGATTTTAGATTTAGTACTCTAAAATTGCACATCTTAGAATGAAAAAAAGAGTGACATTTTATTAAATCAGCAATTAATATAACAACGCTGAAAAGAAACAGAAAAGGTAAAACAGATTATTTTCCCCCAGGGAAAGGCAGAAGGGAAGGGAGCTGCTGTCAGGTGGACAGTTGGAGGTCCACCAGTGGCTCAACCTCCATAGAAAACAGATACATGCAAGAGATGCATTGTGTACACTTTCCTATCCTTCATGAGTACAGATGTGGTGTTAGACAAAGTTTAGGCAGCTCCAGGTGAATATCCACTGCCAATGACAGGAATGTTACCTCCTGCCTTTATAACTGGGTGCTCTGTATTTCAGGTGGGTGACCAGAACCAGCTAGAGGCCCACAGGAGGCAGAAGGTGTTGTGCTCCTTACACAGAGGACGCATACTGCACTACCTCGATGTGGGGCACAGAGTCCTATGGAGGCCCCAGATCTTCTTCTGCGACTGGTGAAGCCGTGGATTCCACTACCTCCTCTGCTGCCATCATGGATGGATCCTCTGCCTTGATCTCAGGAGCAGGTGCTGTGTGCAGCCCCAAATCTAAGGCTGGAAATAGATGCACTGTTAATGGAGGGAGCTCTAGAAGTTGAGATGGGACTGAATCTTCAAGGAGAGTGTAGGTGTTGATAATGGGTGCCTATGCCTGAGAGTCTCCATACAGAGAATAGAGGCTGTCTGACATAGAATACCCATCACAGGACATCTTTCCTGATTGAGTTTTACCTAGTGGTTACTGGCCAATCACCAGCCTGGGATTCTTATCCCATGGGGGACTGGTTTTCATCCCTACTCACATGTTCTCAAGCACTTACCTGAAGACTCCTCTGTCTTTTTGTCTGCCTCCTTGTTCTCTTGCTCCTTCATCTGGGTGAGGAGGAGGTGTCCACGGACTGCCAAGTCTGACGAGGGCATGTGGAGCAGCACGTAGGCCATCAGCTTATTCAGGTTGGCCAGGTCCTTGGACTGGCAGAAATCCTCGGGGTACTTGTCCAGCCACATGGCCAGCATGGAACACAGGGTTCTGTGTGCAGTTGGATAGAAAGCAAAGTGAGAGTTGCTGTCTCCTGCCTGAGCTCCTTCACAGCCCCTTGCTGGAAGAGCTCCCATGCAGAGACTGCCCACCTCATAGACAGACTTGCAGGTTGGGAAGAGGGAGGAGACTCATGTGAGGAGAAGGCTGTCTACAGTTGCCCTGTGGCACCCATTGGAGGCCCTGCTAGGATTGGATAGTATATGATTGCTTCTCCATGGGGTTTTCAGTCCACATCTCCCCTCTCTTCCCTGGTAGACCAGGACACTCCACATGCCTTTACAAGATGCCTCAGGTGCCATCACAAGTGATGTGATCACTAAACCAGAGTTTCCTACTTTGTATCCCAAGCCCTAATAGTTAGCCCACACTTCCGTGAGAGCCCTTCCCTCTGTCCCCAATTCCACTCACTTCTTTACTTGTTCATCCTCCTCAGAGTTAGGATGGAAATGTGAATATCTACAGGAAGAGAGGAGGAAGTCATGTTTCCATCATCCTCTTTTTCTCTTCTGTTCTCTTCCTTCCTTCCTTTCTTCCTTCCTTCCTTCCTTCCTTCCTTCCTTCCTTCCTTCCTTCCTTCCTTCCTTCCTTTCTTTTCTCTTTTTCTTTCTTTTTGTTTTTTTGGTTGGTCATGAGGCTTGAACTCTGGGCCTAGGTGCTGTCCTTCAGCTCTCCAGCTCAAGGCTAGTGCGCTACCACTTTGAGCCACAGCTCCACTTCTGGTTTTCTGACTGGTTTATTGGAGATAAGAGTCTCATGGCCTTTCCTGCTAAAGCTGGCTTTGAACCATGATCCTCAGACCTCAGCCTCCTGAGTAGCTAGGATTACAGGCACCTGGCTCCACCACCCTCTTTTTCTGACCTCCCAGGTAGTCAAGATGGGCTGGCTAAATCCAGGATGAGAATGGGAAGATTTATCTGCACAGTTCCCTGAATTTTACACTAAGGACTTGGCATGTGCCTCTCCAAAGTGCATGCTTCATCTTTTTGTTGTTGTTGTTGTTTTTCGTCAGTCATGGGGCCTAAATTCTGGGCCTGGGCACTGTCCCTTAACTCTTCAAGGCTAGAGCTCTATCACAAGCCATGGTGCCACTTCCAGCTTTTTCTGCTTATGTGGTGCTGAGGAATCGAACCCAGGGCCTCGTGCATGCAAGGCAAGCACTCTACCACTGAGCCACCTTCCCAGCCCTTTAAAGTACATGCTTCGTATGTTGGCACAGTGATCCTTTGCTGATGACTCAGTAGACATAGAGTCTACCCCTATGCTGTAGCCCTTTCTCAGTCTCCAGTTTTCTAGGGGCATTGAAGATTGCTTTGGGAACCTTGCTAACTTATAGAAAATGTATCAGAGGACTTCAAATACATGATTCCTTACTCAGAGTTCTGTGTTTAAGGAAGTAATATGTTACCTCCAAGAAACCCATGGTCCTGGGCTTCCCACTTCAAAGGAACAAGCTTGGGAAGGCATTGACTGGTCTCATTCCAGAGTACAGTGTTTTCTAGCTCTAGCCAGGAGGGTGGCCACATCACTTTGGTTTGGATGGGGCACTCACCTGTTAAATAGAAGGTCCAACACTTGCCCTGTGGTGGTGAACCTCCTGTAAGTAAACAGGAAGGCTGGCACAAAGAAGGGATCCTCTTTCTGGTGTCGAGGAACCAGGAGGTTTACCATCTTCTCCAGCATGCCTGGCTCCAGGGTGCTCACTGTATGGGTCATGTCCTGGGCTGGGACTGGCTCCTTTTCCTTCTGAGGTGGGATCAGAGGAGGTAATTGAGAGGTGAGATGGTAAGACCTTTGAAAAATGGACTCAGTGTGATCAAGTGAAGTGAAAAGTGCACAGAATTACAGTGAACAGGACACCTGGGAATTGAGGAGGGCTCTAGGGTTGGCTGGGATGACAGTGAGATAAATTACCTGGGCAGAGTTCATTTGCTGTGGCGCAGCATTTGTGCCATTTGTGTGCCTTTGGAAGAATTCCCTGAGGCGCCAGAGTTGGGGGTGAGCCCTGACCCAGCGACCACTGCGGGATCTCCTGAGACCTGAGTCCCGGGATCTTGGCAGACAGCAAGAGAACATCCTCCTTCTTCAAGTTTGCTAGCCAAGTGAGCTGGCTGCTGTTGATCTGGAATGTTGTTGCCTGGCTACCAGGATTCCATGTTCAGTTGGCCCCACCCTTAAAGACATAGGATCCCCTCCCCAGTTCCCTTTCCTGAGCCCCTTCCTCACACAAGGCCTCCTCAGAGGACTCAATGGCTGCCAAAGTCCCCCTCCCTCATCACCATGCGCACATATGGACACATCACGCCCACCTTGTCCAATCTCACCGTCCTCTGTCAGAACTGGCTATCTGCAGGGTTTCAGTTAAAAGGAGACAGAGCCCTGATTTCTTACCATTTGGGTGAACCTCGACAAGTCATTTTACATGTCATGGTCCCTTTGTCAACCCAGCTGTTTCCTGGCCTTTATTCCAATATCTGTGTCCTATGGTATTATTAGGTGTCTGTACCCTTAAACATCTGTTTTACATGGCTCAAGATGTCGGGGTGTCTTATAGGAATAAGACCAACTCAAAAGGAATTCAGCAAGGCAAAGTTGACTTCTGCAGAGGGTAGGCCATCAGCCTCTTCTGTCAAGCATCTGTCCTGCATGCAGCAAGCAGGCTCCCTTTTTATCCCTAGCTCAAGAAAGTCTGTGAAAGTCTTATTTTCAGTTAAGCACCAAAAATGCTGAAAGCCGAGTTGTGACTCATGTGGTAGGGTGCTAGTCTTAAGCAAAAAAGCTCAAGGACAGTGCCTAGGCTCTGAGTTCAAGTCCCAGGACCACCCTCCTCTTAGCATGCACACAAAGAAAGTTAAAGCATTAGGGAAACACATACAGCATTGCCATTATTCTATGACTGCTTGTAGACATCGATAGACAGACAGACTGACAGGCAGGCAGATATAACTAATGGGGTAATAGAGATAGAGGGTCCAACACAAGATTTGTCCTTGAAATAGAAAAGTCCCCTGATGCATCTGAAGGAATAAATACATAAATCCCATGATACAATAAAAGGCAGGTGGTTTGAGGATAGTCAAAGATACAAAGATGTAGAAAACTGCCTGAGAGAAAGCAAAAATAAGATAGCAATAAAGTAATATACTGTGCAGTAGAAAATAGTTATATAGAGAGATCGTTACTGAGACATTCTGATTTGAGTCCATGAGCTTTATGAATGGTAAACTAATACTGCAGGCACATAGCAGGAGAAATTCAGGGAGAATAAGAAAGAGCCTCCAAAGGTAAAAGTGTGGCTTAAGTGACAGAGCAATAGCCTTAAGCAGGAAGAGCCAAGTGAGAGCACAAAGCCCTAAGTTCAAGCCCCAGTATCTCTGCCCCCACCCCCACACAATACTTAAAGGCTAAGGGTAAAGCTCATTCTCAGTGTATGCACATAGCGTTGAAGAGACATTGGAGTCAATCCCCAAGACCCCTCCCCCCAAAAAAAACCCCAAAACAACAAAAAAGGAAGAGTCTCCATTATTATCCATTTTCTTAGACAATCGAAGCAAATATAGTAAACATTGAGATTGGACAGATAGAGGGTGGATGCATGCCTGTTTTGAAATGTTCTTTGTACTTTTAGTTATATTTAGGTGGTACTGTATTTTGGGGGAGTTGGATTTGAATGCAAGGTAGGTGCTCTGCTACTACACTACACCCGTTTTGCCCTGGGTATTCGTGTGTGTGTGTGTGTGTGTGTGTGTGTGTGTGTGTGTGTGTGTGTGTGTGTGTTTTCGGTTGTGGGTCTGGGCGCTGTCTCTCAGCTCTTCAGCTCAAGGCTAGCGCTCTACCACGTGAGCCACAGCACCACTTACAGCCTTTTTCTGCATATATGGTACTGAGGAATCGAACCCGGGGCCACATGCATGCAAGGCAAGCACACTACCACTGACCCACTTTCCCAGCCTTTGTGGGTTTAAAAAAAATTTTTTTTTGCCAGTCCTGGGGCTTGAACTCAGGGCCTGGGCACTGTCCTTGAGCTTCTTTTGCTCAAGGCTAGCACTCTACCACTTGAGCCACAGCACCACTTCCGGCTTTTTCTGTGTATGTAGTACTGAGTTCTAAAATCCAGGCTTCATGCACACTAGGCAAGCATTCTAAACACTACACCACATTCCCAGCCCTAAATTTCTTTTATTGGTATTATAAAGGTGATGTATAGTGGGGTTACAGTTACATATGTCAGGTAATGAGTCTATTTCTTTTTGGACAATGTCACCCCTTCCCTTACTCTCTACCAGTTTTTCCCTCTATTTTAGTTTTTTTTTTTTCAGGTAGATTCTCATGTTTTGGAGGTATCCCATTTTTTATTTTTTTTTTTGTCGGTCATGGGAATTGAACAACTCTGGGCTTGGGCGCTGTCCCTCAGCTCTTCAGCTCAAGGTGAGAGCTCTACCACTTGAGCCACAGCGCCACTTTTCTAGTGGTTTATTGGAGATAAGAG